CTTAAGATCAGAATTTAGAAACTGTGGCACCCAGCGAGCAGATATATTATTCATCTGTAAATGTTCATGAATTATAGTTTTAGTGGATCCATGGCTTACACCTGTGTCTTCCTCAAATTCAGCCATGGTAATACGTCTATATGACAGTGTAACTTCTTGATTGAATCTTCACTGATGGGACGTTGAAGTTGAGGGACGTCCAGACCTAGGGTCATCATCAAGGGTTGTTCTCCCAGCCTTAAACATAGCTGCCCAACGTTTAACAGTGGGGTAGCTAGGGCACTTATCCCCATACACTTGTGACATGCGGTCATAAATCTCTCGGGGAGTACTTTTCTCAAAGTCAAAAACTTGATGACTGCTCGTACTCGTTCTTTTCCATTTCTGTGTCAATTTGGACCCCTGTCACGTTCAACTGGCTGTCTCAAGAGACCAAATACTCTTGCAATGAACTCCTAAAACAATGTACTACATTGACTTTTTCACTTTGTTATGGCTCATAGTCAAAGGTTGGTCAGACTTACAACTTTCTGACCAGCCCTTGTACAAATAGATTATCAACTTAATCTAATTCTAAGGGTGGAAGGAGCATATCAGGATTACATAGGCTGGATTAGTCAACAAAGAAGTTATTGAGAACATTAGCAATATCCATGAAATGATCATACAATCTATCCCGAAATCCAGTTGGAGGGAAATTATGTATAGCATTTTTGAATTTAAGAAATTCTTTCACTTACCTCGACCAAGTCTTTGTACCTTGAGAACTATTTATTACAGTATCAATTTCAGTATGTGTTCTTTGCCTTACAGACATAGTCGATTCCTTTATTCCTTAACAACCTAACATGTGCCCAATCAGCTGGACTATTGCGTCTTTTAGCTTTCTAATGTTGGCAATTTCGTTTCCTATTAAGGAGCATATTTAATTATTGATCCACTGTGGATCTTTTGATTGTATGGTAACAGTTTTATAAGGAATATGTTAATCTAACCATACGAACGTTGATATATATCATCATTATGTTACTAACATTACTTATAAATATTTTTTAGAAGTGCCTGGATATTTATTTTGAGATATATTATGATATATATAATATGTAGTCTTTATGTGACAAGTTAAGAAATCAATGTTGTATCTAGAAAAATCACGAGTATGTACAGAGATGTCATGTAGGCTCCGATAAAATCAATATTTGACAGGCGATGTTTGTCACGCATAAATATTAAGAGACAGCTACTTAGTGGGACGTTGAAGGTACATGAGTTTATGACAATGTCAAAGTCATTTATCATTCTAGTGTGACTTTTCAGAATCCTGCATTCTACTGCGTTCGAAAATATATTTTTCATGGTTGAAGACAATTTGTCAAAACAGAAGGGAAATGTCACGAAGTTTACTGAGAAAACATTTTGTCTCATCTTAGATAACGCAGATGACATTTGGATTTTTGTTTGTTTGTTTATTGTTTAACGCCGCACCGAGCAATATTCCAGCTATATGACGGCGGTCTGTAAATAATCGAGTCTGGGCCAGACAATCCAGTGATTAATATCATGAGCATCGATCCACGGAATTGGGATTGATGACATGCATCAACCAAGTCAGCGAGCCTGACCACCCGATCCCGTTAGTCGCCTTTTACGACAAGCATAGTCGCCTTTTACGGCAAGCATGGGTTGCTGAAGACCTATTCTACCCCGGAATCTTCACGGGTCAGATGACATTTGGAACAATCAGCCAAGTAGTAGGCATCCACAAGGGCACCAACTGTTCTCCCGCCATCATGTTTATGCTCGGATTGGCATAGTGGTCTAGCGGTAGAGAGTTCACACGGAGAGTGAAAGGTCCGGGGTTCGATCCCCGATCACGTCATACCAAAAGGCGTTAAAAATGGTACTTGCCTGGCGCTCGGCATTAAGGGGCTAATAAATGACTGGTCGGCTCGGAGTCAGTATACTGTGTCTGAGTTGGGTATTGAACATGTTAAACTGCGGCATGGTATCTTAGTGAGCTAGCAGTATAAATCCAGTCCGGACTAGTACAAGCAGTCGCACACACACACACACACACACACACACACACACACACACACACACATGCACGTCGCTATACAAGTGCAATAATCTTGAACGCGACGTTGACTTGCCTTTCGATGTATATGTGAACCCTGCCACCGGAGGGACAGGACATGCTCACCTTTTCGCGAACACCTTGTATTATCACTATGTGATGGTGAAACAATATCACGTTATGGCTGAAATATTGCCGATGTTACGTTAACTTTTCACTCACTCATAGACACATGATTGAGAAATATTCCGAATTGTACAATGCACCCCGCTTTTTGCAGGGATTTCTCATGAAAATGGATAGAGTTTTGTCACTTTTATATAATATTATCAAATTTTAGCTGTTACCGTTAATACCTGATGTAAAAACTATACTTATGGCTGGTATTCTACATATAAGTAGTTTTTGTTGGAGTTTTAGTTTTTCCCTCTTTTGATATGCCGATAGAAAGGTATTAGTAGCAGTGATAGAAATAGAGAATACTGCACTCATTCTCATTAGGTACCACTTTTACGAAACGAGTGGACTTTCTATCGAATCTGACCTAGCGAAAGTGTGGTATTTTATTCATTACCCACGTTAAATATATATTCAAGTGTAAATACATGACAACTTTCGTTCGTTGACAGACCAAACTGAAACTGGTTGCAAAATCTGATTGTGCATGAATATCGATATATACCCAAATATGGGCATTGTTGACATTTCTATGCATACGCATTAACAGCATGCTCTAGCTGTTGTGTTTGCAAACATAACAGCACCGACGCTCACGATCCTTTTGAAGAATTTCTTCAACTTATGGTAATTCAAGCGCATTGTTGTTAGTACGTAGGACACCTATAAGAAAAGCTTGTAAGTCACATTAGCGCCGCGCTTTGAATATCGGACCAACAGTCGGTCACTCGCACTGCCGGGGTGTCCTGGCTGTGCAATCAAAATGGTTCGGTTTCCTTAATCTGTCAGCTGAATTTATATCATGTCCGTACCATTTTGAAAGCGGGAAATCAGAGTGTTCGCTAAAGACATTCATGTTAACTGTACCACCCTATACTGAAGACGAGAAAATCAACCAACTCAAGTCTGCTTGCATGTCAGTGACAGCTTCGAACAAAGGACAAGGTTACCATCGGAATAAGAAAAGGCAACTGTGATCTACTTGCAGCGTTTTACGCTAGCGAAAGGGAATGTTATTGTTCACATTTGGGATATTTTGGGCCACATAATCAGAAGTCAGGCGCACTTCTAAGGAGTTTTCGAATCTATTTGTGTCCGAAATGTTCACTTTTAGTGATCTGGGCCCACTTGCGCAAAGCAATCTTAGCGCTAAGATGATCGTAACGCCCATACTTTAACATAGGCTTACGATAGTCTTAGCGCTAAGATCGCTTTGTGCAAGTGGGCCCTGGTCGTGGAGTCGTGTATGTTCATTCGTGAACAAACACCTTCGGAAGCAATGGGATAAAAAAAATTAATGCCCTAATTAATGATAATTAATCATCAGTCCATCTGACTGCATCGCGTTGTTCAATTATATTATTAGTCTTTATGAAGAGTAATTGCAGTCGTTCATTAAAAACACATGTGATCTTAATAAACTGTGAAAGCGAGCTTATGTTATGACCTGCTTGTATATCTGTGATTTGCAGATGGGCTGTATTTAAACATACCACAATAATAGAAAGGTGGGAGTCGTTCTATTTGATCATAAAGAGCCGAAAAAGGTTGTCAACGATAATTTAATTTAATAATTATTATTTTCAGGGTATCATTTGGTATTTGTAATATATCTTTGATTCAAATTGCCGAATTTGGTTTGCTTGCAGGTGTCGATATATAATTTGAGCGCTGAGGACCAATTGTAACCCGGATCCCCACACAACGCATAATATCAGACACAACAACCTCTTTAGGACGTTTAATCAAACGGTTGTTACGATGGTATCAAAATTCGACAGGTGTGGCATTTGGGCAGAATGAGTGTCAGTGAGTTTGATTTTTCGTCGCTTTTAGCAATATTCCAGCAACATCACGGCAGGGGAAACCAGAAATGGGCTTCACACATTGTACCCATGTTGGGAAGCAAACCCGGGTCTTCGGCGTGACGAGCGAACGCTTGAACCACTAGGCTACCTGACCGCCCCTTGGGCAGAATGAAACAAGCATGAAATACTCATATTAGTATAGTATAGTATAGTATAGTATAGTATAGTATAGTATAGTATAGTATTACAGAGCAAAGGCGCAATTAAGCACTTGCCTAATGTGTATACAGAGGTTCAAATAAATATGAAATAGCGAATGAATTATTCATTGGAAATGAATCAAACTAACTGCCTTGGAAACGCGAAAACTATAAACCTTAAAAGAAATATACCTTGACCCCACATTATGTACATCTTACTGTACATGTCATAGCTTATTACCAATACATGTCAACATTAAAACTTAATATAACAAAACCACATCTTATGTTGCTACAACACATTACTTTAGCTCGGAAGACTGAGTAGCTTGTTCCGCTAGGGACCTATGATTGTGGGTTCCCGGTTCGGCACCATTTTGTTTCTAGGTTTGTCAGCACCATACCCGTGCTCGGGGATTTCATCAAAGTGGCAAACGTCTGAAACCCGCTTCACTTGGGCCTTTCCCCAAAATTAAGCTGACACGCCGTGATATAACCGGAATACTGTGAAAGGCGGCTTTAAAATCAAGTCACTCTTGTCTTCTTTTATTTTGTACACTTCAGGATATTCATTTCCACCCATTATTTCTTCATTCGTCAGGAGTGGTGGGGTTACCAGGTGGTAAAAGCGTTCGCTCGTCATGCCGAAGGCCTGGTTTCCATTCCCAACAGGAATACAATTGGTGAAGCTCATTTCTGGTGTCCCCGTTGAGAACATTGCTAAACGCGGCGTGAAACCATGCACACTCACGTTTCAATAGTCAGAAATTAGAAGCGGCTGTGGGGAAAACATGTCTCCCTCATTTTAGCAAAATATTGTGCATTTTAGTAGCAAAATATTATATATAAATGCTGGAATTCATGGCGTCTTTAAAAGTATACTTGCTGTGTTTCATGAGGAGAATCAATGTGTACAACAGTCTACGTTGAATTTAAATATTAAAATACACTTTGAACAAATTGACAATGCACGCATTTCCCACGCATAGTCTTAAAGTATCCTCGCCAAACACTCTAGCTGCTTCGCACTCAAGAGAACAGATCTGAGTGACGTAGTATCGATTTTTCAATCACAATGAAAGAGTTGTCGTTGCGTGCATCGACGTATACATGTCTTTAGGTCGTGTGAATCAACGAGCAAAGCTGCCACGTTTGAAAGCAGTGTTGCTAGAACAAGTCTTCTGTGCACTGTCCAGGATACTTCCCCATTTGATGATGAATGGACACATATCTAAAATCATTATGAAAATATCGATGGCAGCTTTCCTGTTACTTCTTGAATGTCACATGGTAATTTGTCAAGAGGACGCACTTGAAGAGTGTAAAACAACCTTCAATCTGGCAAAAGTAAATGACAGTTTTTCTGATGAAGACATATTCTCTGTAGTTAACAACTCAGAGCTGCCGGACTGTGTCAGTAGATGTTACCGACACACCCGTTGTGTCGGGGTGAGGTTTGCCCCCAGCACCGGCCAGTGTCACATGTACGCAGCCTACCAGACACAGTCCACAGGGACGGGAACAAGTGGGGACAAATACTACATCATGAAACGTGAGTTCATTGTTTTTAACAAGACGAAATACGAGAATGATATGCTTTGTTTAACCAAGACCTGGAAATGAGTTAAACACAACTTTACAATACGTTTCCATAGACAATTTGCGATCTAAAAAAAATGATCCTGTAACAAGTTCCTTTTGAAATTAACCTACGAAGCCCTGTCCATATTCTTAGAAATATTTTGAGTTGATTGTACGATTCTGACTATATTATGATCATGTGTTCATGAATCGTTTTCAAGTAGTTATGATACCAGGTGTTCGCGAATAGGTGAGCGTATCCTGCCCCACCCATGACCCCCATTACAAACACATGCAAAGGCAAGCAATTTGTTCACCTGCTCAAACCTACGTGAACATATGGTACAAGTGAATATAGGGAAGAATATAGGCTCTGCATGTTTATCAATCCCCTTTCACTGTACCAAGTGGAAATAGATATCGTTTAAAAAGATTAAAAAATAGAGAACAACACGTTTAGAACTTTCAAATACCGCCTCTCAAGAAAAAAACCCGTTCAGTCATAAAATACTGTTTCTGTCTTGACTAAATGTATAACCACAACAGAAAATCTTAAAATATTTGCCTTTAACTTAGACTGTGGTACCCGTTTCTGTCAAACCATCCATTCCCTCTTCAGGTTAGGATGCAGTGTTTGTTTGTTTTGTTTGTTGTTAAACGCCGCACTCAGCAATATTCCAGCTATATGACGGCATTCTGTAAAATAATCGAGTCTGGACCAGACAATGCAATAATTGACATCATGAGCATCGACCCACGTAATTGGGATCGATGGCATGTATCAACCAAGTCAGCGAGCCTGACCACCCGATCCCGTGATTTAAATGCACACAAATATCATAGACATGGTCATGAGTCGACTGCCTGCTCCTGTGGAGACCATTATAAGGATCCTGCACATTTATTTCTTTTCATGTTGCAACTACTGCAATCTTCGGAACATTATGTACTACTGAATAAAAGGACATGACTTGGATTCAGTATTATGTGGAAATCTTACATCTGATGATATTATCCTTGCTATTGTAAAATCTGTTCATTTGTTCATTGCAAAATCTAAAAGATTTAAAATTCAAATATGTGTCTTCTTTACGATTACATCTATCAAATAGTTTGTTTGCGTGACATGCCGGTATGTAGTGGTATGTGTACAAGCATATATGTGTATTCGTACAAATGAATGGAGGCACCGGTTTGGTTAGGTACCGTTATATTTTTTTATTTTTTTTATTATTATTCCACTTTTTTTTGTCGTACAGCATTTTTATACATATTAATGTTAATACAGCGATTCTTAAAACAACAACAGAATCATACATCATGGGGGCATATGAACTCGGATAATTCAGTATTTGAGTTGATATGGTTACAAAAATAGTTTGTGGCAGCTGGACCAAAACTTCACAAACTTGTTGTAGTTACAGTTAGAGTAAGCTATCGCTTTAGTTATAGAGTAGTAATTTGCCAACTCTCTCTGGATCAACACGAAAGACATTTTTTTCTTTTTAAGATAAAATTTGAATATAGTATCCTAAATGACAAGGCATATAGCATTTAATGGATCATTTCCTTTAAATGGAAAGCCCAGTAAAACGTTTTCTTTGGTGGATTTGATATGAATTTCCGCCTTATTATTTATCCATCTTTCAAGTTCGGCCCAGAGAGAGCTAGCGTTTTCACAGTTCCATAGTACATGAGAAATGTTAGCAATAACTTTATCACAACTTGTACACAAGGGAGAATCTTTATATCCCACTTTAAATAGGTATTTACCAACTGGAAGTATTTGATTAATGATTATGTACTGAAGCAAACGCAATTGCACACTATCCGTACATCGGAAGGGTATTTCATTTATATTTTTCCATTCATAATCTGTATAATATTTTATTTCATTTTCCCATTGCTGATTGGCTGATGTCCTATGAAATGTTGAACTCAATAGCACATCATTGTAGTATTTTGAACCCTTTGGACTCTACATGAATGTTAAATGGTAAAATTGGGGCTACCAATGGTGTAACATCATAAGTTTCTAAAGATTTTAAATAAACATTTATAGCATTTCTTACTCCGTAAAAGGTTAAACGATTACACGAAACATTGTATCTATTCTCAAATTCTAAGTATGAAAGAAGTCGGCCCTGATGATCTACCAAATCATTGATATATTTTACCCCCGCATCATCCCACTTGTTAATAAATATATATTTCCCATCAATCTGCACATTGTCATTGTACCATATATACTGGGAATAAGCATCCTTTCGTGTTTCCTTATGTTTTTCTATATATCAGCCCCAAGACGACACAACATCTCGCCAAAAAGGATTTCTGATAGTTTTGACGATGTGGTCTCTTATGTATTTTGCATCCATTTGAAAAATATCAGATGGGATAATATTAGCCTCAAATATAAACGATATAAGGGTAGTATTTGATAGATGTATGTGACGAAGCCAAGAAATATTTTGAGATGCAATAATATCTTTTACTAGGGGTACTTTAAAACCACCGTTAGGAATATTGTTCATTACCCTTTCCCTTTTAATTTTATCCGGTTTTTCATTCCAAATAAATCTGAAGCACTTTGCTTGAAATTTATTTATAATATCTTCAGATGGAGCAGGAACAGTAGAAAACAAATGATTAAGTTCTGGTAACAATAATGATTTCCATTTTGTATTTCGTCCAAAGGGTGTAAGTATTCTATTTTTCCATAATTGCATTATATTTTTTAATTTCTTTGAATTTATCGTTATAATTCATGTCTACCATATTTTCAAGATCAGTAACAAATTTAATGCCCAGTAACTTAAAGTTATCGGTCCAATCCAATTTCATTTTGGGAAGTAGTTTTATCCGACTACGTTTTTTTGAACCAATACATATCAACTTAGTTTTGTCTATATTTACCCCTAAGCCCGAAAAGCTTTTAAAGAGAGTCAATGTATTAAAAACAGCTTGTAAACATCTTTCTGTACCATCGACTATTAAAGTTGTATCGTCTGCAAACTGAGCTAATAAGTGATCAATAGAACCAATCTTTAATCCTTTGATAGATTTGTTATTCTTAATCAATCTGGTTAATATCTCAGTACATATGATAAAAATATACGGGGAAATTGGGTCGCCTTGGCGACAGCCTCGACTTAACTTGAAGAATGAACTTGCAAAACAATTAACCAATACACATGACTCTGAGTTTTCATACAATAATCTTATCCATTTACGTATTGAAGAACCAAACTTAAAAAATGCTAACACGTCTTGAATAAATGCCCAATCCAAAGAATCAAAAGCTTTTTCGAAGTCGCTAAGCATTAACATGCCGGGAATTTGATAAGTATCGACATATTCCATAACGTCATACACCTGCCTTTTAACCGCTCCCATATATCTCCCTTTAATAAAGCCTTTCTGTTCTTCACTGATAAAAGTAGATAAAACTAGCTAGTTTGATCCGATCTGCTATAGCCGAGGAAGCAAGTTTGTATGTAGTGATGTGATGCTTTTATTTAGGTAATGAGGCCACCGGCCCATTATACACGTGCAGAGCATGATGGCATACACATGTGACAGAGCGCTGAATTATAAGATTTACAATGCAGTGTTCAAACTGTTAATATTGGAGTTAATTATATGACACAGGTATTCCCTTGAAAATGGAATTACGTTTCTTACCAGCAAGAAATACATATTTTGCTAAATTGTTGCAAATACTTTGATTAGTCGAGCTGAATAAAAAGAACATTTTCTCACGACTTGGAAACATGTGATAATAATTGGGTATGAGATTAGACCGCAGATCAAGATAGAACGGACACACCATACAAAAGTGGAATCATCTTCGATAGCACTTACAACACAGAGGGGACAGAAACGTTCATGTCTTGGTATATTATGGTATCTGCCTGTTTCAACCATAAGACGATGATTGGATCCGAGAAAATTCAAGATATTAATTCGAAATAATGTTACATCAATTAATCGAATCCAGTTATTATATGAAAATTTATCCCTTACTGCAGAGAACAATTCAAGCTTAGAACAAGATTCACAATTATTGTGCAACACTTGATTTTCAATGTCTACGCTCCTTTGCCTAAACTGATGTAAGAATAAGTCAGATCTACCAACACCCTGTTGTAGCCATACCTCTGCAAATCCGTAAGAAAACAGCAATGATTTAACCTTGAGTGACCAGCAAGCGTTGCCATTCTCTGCCATTTTATATTGAAAACTATATGTTTTTTTCAAAATCAAGTTATTATCTTGTATCAATAGTCGAAGCCAAAATTTTATAATTTTTAAAAAATGTGACACTTTGACGGAGTTTCTCATCAAGACAGATTTTACAAAGCTATTTGGTGTGTTTCTACTCAAACCCAAAGTCAATTTACAGAATCTACTGTGCACATGTTCAATGTCAGGTGATGCATGGAATCCCCAAACTTCCGATGCATATGTCAAAATTGGTAACACTTTTACATCAAAAATTTTGAAACAGACATCTGGTGGCAGATATGAGAATTTACCTAGTCTGGAATGGAGGATTTGAATCACCTTCCAAGCTTGCTGGGCTAATGTCTTCTGAGTTAAACTCCACGAGCCAGAAGAGGATAACTGGACACCGAGATACTTATAATTCGATACTGTGGTGACATCATCATTTCCTATCCTAAATTTTTCCTGATTTCTAAGTTTTCCGCCATTTCTAAAAACGACAACTTTACTTTTATTAGTATTAATAGTAAGTTTCCATTTATCACAATATAAAGATAGTTTATCAAGTCGCTTTTGAAGACCAACAACTGACACGTCCATTAAAATAATGTCATCGGCGAACAACAAGATGAACAGTTCTAGAGTATGTAAGGTAACACCATGAGCATCACACTCCAACTCCTCGACAATGTCATTAATAAAAAATGAGAATAAAAATGGAGACAGTTGACATCCCTGTCTAAC